CCGACGCTGTTTTACGATACTCTAACTCCGATTCTCAACGTCATTTCCTATTGTTCCGTGCTATTGCGCCGCTGCGACGCTGGAGGGCCTTCCCTCCCTTTTCTAGCGAAGCGTTATCCATCATCATCCATCATCATTGACAGGGAGATTCGAGTGAGTCCATGCACTGAAGTGAGTCACCCTGCAACATTCCCTCCCTTTCCATGCTGATCTCCGAGCAGCATCAATTAATTTCATTGCAGGGGGATACGGCACGTCACGGCAGGCTCGAAGATAGCCACTGCACAGACAGTCGGGCCCTTGGGCCTCGCGGGAGACAAATCTTGTGATGAGCGGGGTCAGACTCATCGGAGGGGCTACTATCGACACGGGGGACCTTTCAAGGCCTTCAGACCCTTCTCCCTGTACAGCTTCACCTTGTCACCCACCGTTTGAGCCGCGGAAAGTGAGTTCAATCCCCTGGAGCGGAAGTTGCGAGCTCAGATCCAAAGTCGGTAGATGTCCAGGCAGATGAGATCAGCTCTCCTGTTGTACAAGCAGACCAGATCTGCTTTCCCTTAATTCGTCCACTCCCTCGCTTCGCTATGATACAGGCGCTTCCTTCCGCGCTCTCTCCCCATGGCTCTCTCCTATCGCTGCACACAGGCCTTGTGTGGCGCTCTGCCATGTCTGAATTGGGCTGAGATCTCCAGCGATTCAGCGTCGTAACCAAAGGGACCAAAATACAGGTACGTAATGTTCATCCCATCCACTGTCATCCCATCCTCTTCGCGTTCCAGGATCTGTCAGTCGCTTCCGCCATCCAGGTCAGTCGTGTTCATCGGACACAAATGCACGCACTCACGCGCACTTGCACACGTGTGCCTGTCGCTCCTCAGGGTTTGTTTCGCTTCTCCACGTCACTTCTCTCATTCGGCGGCTCCTCACGCCAATTCCTCTCTCTCTCCCACTGGTAGAACTTCAGGAAGCTCTTTAAGGTCACTCGTTGTGTCGTCCCAACGATGCCCTTTTTCTTCAGTCTCTTTGTGCGTGTAGGTTCGGCGAGGAATTTGAGTTTGATGCCGCCCTCATCAAGCTGCGTGACCTTAACGACGTGCTCGCGATTTGGGTCTGCGCACTGCCTGACACGCACGATGTCATCCAACGACGGGAGCAGCGCATCGTCGTAACGCAGGTCGACATCACACACACGATTCTCGTAATCCTGCACGCGATCATCACACGTGAGGTTCTCTTCGTTTTCCCAGGTTGCATACGAGAGCGGCCACCAACGCCATTTCAGCTTGTATTGCACCTTGCCCTGGTGATTCCTCTTGTCAACGACGGCGTCCACTTCGTGTTTTTCGACGCGCTCAAATTTTTCGTCCGGCTGGATATCCTTGAGGCTCGGGTCGTGTGCTATCGGGTCAAATGCAGCATCTGGTGCTTTCGACGTGCGAGCAGCTGTCCGTTCGCTTTGTCTGCGTCTGGTCGGCACATGGTCTTCGCCAACAGCAACCTCCTTCAAGAGTTCTTCCTCGTCGCGGGTCAAGAATGCTTCCTGATTGAAGACCGTCTGTCGTCTATCTCTCCCCAGCCGTGTGGCAGGGGCTTCCATCGTCCTCTCGTCCCGTTCGCCATCATCCCACGCTGATGCGGCTGCTTTCAGCCGATCCACATTGATGTTCTTTGCGATGCCTTTGCCGCATGGGCGCACTTTATATGTCACTGGGCCTGTCTTTTCTTCCACAATCGCTACCGTCCACCAAGGTGAGATGAGCTTCCTGTTGAGGCCCTCAGGCACATCATCGATGTGTATGCGCACTCTGTCTCCTGGTTTGAATTCCCTTGCTGCAGGCAGATCTCTCTCGCGTGCAGCCACTTGCTGTTTCTTCCTGTCCATGGTCTTAAGAGCTTCCTCATGGATCGTCTGGAGACCCTCTTTGATCAGCTTAACGGCATCTCCGGGGTCAATCGCTTTGGCTTCCGACTCGTTGGTTGCGACGAGCCGTGCTGCGCTGCCAGGGTGCACTGCCTCGCGGCCAAACAGCATCTTGAATGGCGTAAAGCCAGTGGATTCATGTTCCGTCGTGCGGTACGCATACAAGACCATATGAGTCATCTTGTCCCAGTTGGTTTGTTGCTTGTTCAGGTACGGGCGCAGCCTGTCCTTCAAGGTACGGTTGAAACGCTCGATCATCCCATTGCCCTGCGGATGGCGTGGTGTCGTTGTTGTGTGTTTGACTCTCAGCATGTCCGTCACTTCGCGCATCAGTTTGTTGACAAAGTGCGAGCCATTGTCCGTAATGATCTCCTCGGGCAGCCCATGTCGAGTGACGACCATTTCCATGAGTGCCCAGACCGTCTCTGTAGCCGTTGGTGCGTTCGTGAAGACCTTCACCTCTGGCCACTTCGTGAAGTAATCCTGAATGGTCAGCGCATACTGATTTCCGTTCATGGATGTCGGCAGGGGACCAATAAAGTCCATTGCAATTCTCTGAAAGGGTCTTTCCGCTGATGGCATCTGTATGGTTGGCCTTTTGTTCGTCCTCAGGTTTCGTTTGCTTTGGCACGCGGCACACCTCTCTATGTGCTTCCGTAAGTCATCATACATGCCACGCCAGTAGTATTCTATCGCCATGCGTTTGTATGCCCGTTCGATTGCCAGGTGGCCGGCCAAGAAATGCTCGTGATGCAGCCTCAATGCTTCGGTGCGCAGCGACGACGGCACAAACAGCAGCGGTCCATGCTCCTGGTGCTTCGACAAAACCCTGACGATCCCATCGAGTAAGCAAAAGCTGTCCAGCTTTGACCAATACACCTTCGGTATCACTTCGCGCAGCTCATCGAGCTTCTTTTTGTCTGTGTTATCGTGCTTTGCCTGTAGGTACGCCTTGACGCGCGAGACCTCCGTGCACTCGTCTCGTGCTTTGATGATCCGATCGAGGTCATAGAGGGGGCTGTCATCGATCGCCAGCTCCTCGACGGCACCCAACTGATACTGATATGCGTCACCCTTGTCACCCAGGTCAGCAGACATCCCACCAGGCGGCCGCGATAGTGCATCCACATCCGTTCTTTCCAGGTCGGTAACGGAAGACGAAATCATAGTCCTGCAGCATGAGGGACCATCTCTGCAGCTTGCGATTGCCGTCCTGTGCAAATCGAAGCGCTCTCAAGGCTTGGTGATCCGAAACGAGCTCAAATCTTTCACTAAACAGGTAGGGCCGGAATTGCCTTACTGCACAGTAAATAGCATGTGCCTCTCTCTCTGTGGCCGACCACTTTCGCTCAGTGTCGCCAAGAATCGCACTTGCGTAATGAATCGGTCTCTCTTGTCCTTTGTTGTCCCTTTGACACAGGATGGCTCCAATGGCGTAGTCACTTGCGTCTGTTTTGAGCACGAATGCCTTCTTGAAGTCCGGCAAGGCCAACACGGGCGCCGAGATCATCCTTTGTTTGAGTGTGTTGAGGGCTCTCCTCTCATCCTCGCTCCACACGAACGGCCTATCCTTCTTTGTCAGGTCAGTGAGTGGCCTGGCTAAGTCAGCGTAGCCCTTCACCAAGCGCTTGTAGAACTGGAAGACGCCCAGCATGCTCCTCACTTCCTTTTTATCTGTTGGCTCAGTCATATTGACCATCTTGTCAATTTTCTGTGGGTCACTTCGCAGTCCTTGCTCAGAGATCAGGAAACCAAGGACCGATATCTCTCGCGCAAAGAAGATACACTTGGCGGGCTTCACTTTGATGTTTGCAGCCTCGAGGAGGTGGAATACGTCAAGTACATGCCTGCAATGCTCCTCAAAGGTGCGCGAGAAGACGACAATGTCGTCAACATACACAAACGCACTCTTCCACAACACTGCCCTCAACACTCTGTCCATGACTCTTTGGAATGTCGCTACGCTGTTGCAGAGACCCATCGGCATACGCGTCCATTGTTTCTGTGTCTGTCCGTCGATCGAGAAGGCGGTTTTGGGTCTGTCGTCCGGATGCACCTCAACTTGCCAGAAGCCCGATGTCGCATCGAGCGTCGTGAACCACGACATGCCCTGGAGGGACTCAAAACATCGATCGATCAAGGGCGGGGCGTAGCGAGACTTCTCTGTTATCTCATTCAGCCATCGGTAATCCACACACATTCGCCACGTGCCATCCTTCTTCCTGACCATCACTATGGCTGCGTTGTATTTTGAGCCTGCAGGCTCGATGACGCCAGTGGACTCCAGCTCCTTGACTATTTGCCTGGCTGCCTGGTCCTCTGCCTGTGCCAGTCTTCTCGCCTTCATGTAGGGTGGATTGCCAGATACACGGATCCGATGCACACCCAGCGATTGGTCAACGTGGCCAAGGTCAGCCTTGTCCTTCGAGAAAATGCCTGTGCATTGCGCCTCTTTAATCACATCCACTGCCCGTCTCTTCTGTTGTTCGGTCAGGTCTTTGCCAACGTGTATTTCGTGTGCTATGCCGTGGGCATCCGGGAAAGTACGCACATCCTCTGTTTCTGGTGCTGTGCCCATCAAATGCTCCAGGGGCTCTCGATCGATCTCAGCAGGTACCATACGCACATCACCGTCAGGCAAGGCAAGAGCAGCTATCTGTTGCCCTGTGTGTCCTTGCTCGCCAGATGTGTGGATCAATTCGGTCTCACTCAACTCTCTCAGTGGAAGGAACCATCCGAGCAGCTGGTTCTTGCTCAGCGTGGCCCTCTTGTGTGACGTGTTGCGGATCCTCACCAGCACCCGTCGTCCTGCGGATACTTCCACTACATCGGTATCAACATCCAGCCACGCGCCTCTCAGGCTCGACAGCAACCGGTGCTTTTCAATTCGTCCCACATCCCCTATTTGTCCTTCAGGTCTGTCCAATCGTGCTCTCACCCATCGTTCAGTGCCGGCTGGTATGGGGGTCTTTGCAGTGACCAGCAGACGGCATTTGCCTCCTTCGCTCTCCCTCGGTAATGACACTCTCGCCACTCCAACCGCAGCCACTCTCAGTTCGTCACGCCGTTGTGGTTTGTGTATTTCGATAGGTGGCCAATCTGGCCGTGATTTGAATTGGATACATCCCTCTCCACAGTTGATATCGACACGCTCTTCTCTGAGCGACTTCGCACCCACCAAGAGAACACACTGGGGATCATCTATGACACAGCACTGCACAATAATGGGTTTAAATTGTCTCTCCTCTCCCCTGTCCTTCGAATTAGGCGTGATGGCGACCTCTGCAAGGCCGTGCACCACTACTGCACCACGATTCAACACATTCAGCTTGACTCCAGTAGTCAGCAAGTGGACCTGTCGGTCTCCCTCTTCCCTTAATTTGTCGAGCATCTTCCGGCTCATTACACAAAGGTCAGCACCTGTATCCATGAGAGCATCACACGCCACCCCATTGGCCTTAATTGGTACGTGTATCTGCCACCTGATTGCAGGAGTGACATCACACTCGTCTCTTCCTTGTGCTCCCGCTGCGCAGCAACGCAGCGTTCCGTTCGAGTCGCCACCAACATGGTGTACACGCGCATCAGCCATCGGTGCGTCACCACACCAGCCAGTGCCACCAGCCTCATTCTGACCGCCATTGTTTGTCTGTCTGTCGCTCTGTGTGTTAGGTTTCGTCACATGCATTGCCTGAAGAACCTCGCCACAGGAAGGCGTCCCCTCCTGCCGTTCTTCCCCTTTTCGATCGGTGTCCGGCCTGCCAGCGGCCCGATCAAACAAAGCAGACTCATCATTGCACTCCATCGGTTGGCACTCCTCAACCGAATCGACACCGGTGGGCTTACGTCCAAGGCAAGCTGCCGCCGAAGCCGCCTTCACCTCTTGGTCGCCACAGCGGATGGATCGACGCAATGCCACCGTCCCCGGTGGGCTTCATCCACTGACTCGGCACGGCCTTCAAGACCTCTTCTTCGAGCCAGCAGGATCGACGCAATGCCTTCTCTCTCTCTCTGCGAAACCTCTTCCAGCTGCCGGCCACAGCCAACAGTGGGTACCTCTTCCCTCTCGAGTGCTCGCTTGCGGTCAGCGTAGGGGCCAGTCAACGCTCCTGGCGTGGAGAACATCATCTCAGGCTCATGCATGAGCACATCATGTCGATGCACCACTCTCTCGGTAGGTGTTCGACCACTGCCTGTTTGTCTTACCTTCACCAAACAATCATTGTGGTGTGATGTGTGTAGGGCGCCATCCATTCGCATCGTGTCCTCTCGCCCGCCCTGCTGCGGAGGACCTATCCGTTTCCCAACTGCGGGTACGCTGGCGGTGGAAGGGCAGGAGCTGCCGCAGCATTGGGCTCCAATCTGATTGTGTTTGCTCCTGTCGCAGGTGTGTGTCCCTGCCCGGCGAGCTGCAGCCTTGCTCGACACTCTCTCCAGCGATGGCCTTGCTTTCCGCACCAATCACAGTGGCCATGGAAGGGTCGTCTTCCCACGGTATTGCGTTCCACGGTGTGCTTCCTCTCCATCGTCTATTGCTGCCATCAGGTGCCTTTTGCTCTTTTGTTTCCCTCGTGTGTGGTGTCAGGTGACCATCTTTCATTTCCTTGATGCTCTTCGTCACCTCAGCCGTCATGGCATTGACAGAGGCAAGCACCGACTCAACACCTTTCTCGCCCGTCACCTCTGTTTTGTCTTTGTTGGGTGGCTGCTCAGGTCGCTGCTCAAGCGCGTCTATCTCGTATCGAGCGGCTTTTGATGGCCGTGTCGTTTCAACATCACTCTCTTCGTCATCATCCCTGTATCGCTTGCGTGTACGCAGCATCCATACCTCGGCAGCCAGGCCAAGTTCCTTGATGGCGCTGAATTCGCGTGGGTCAGTGTCCTTGCGGTATATTTCGGCTCTTAGGTCGGGCTGCAAGCCATCGATGAATAGCTCGACTGCCTCTGGCTCTGATTTCTGTGACTTCTGATAGAGTTCACTGAACTCATCGAATGCTTCCTCGAATGTCTGTCTGGCCTTTTGCCGCCATGCCTTCATGGTCTCTGCCACCACGAGTGTCTGTGACCTCTTTTGACCAAACTCTAGCCTCAAATAGGTTAAGAGCCGCTCCAGCTGCACGGATTGGCTGCTGCCTCCCCACCATGCCTGTGTGTTAATCCATCGGGTCGCCCGTGTGCGTGCGGTGCCTTGCAATGCACTTATGATATATGGCAGTATCCGTCCGCCTCTAAGATTGAACATTTGCTCGGCCAGCCTGACCTCATCAATGAACAACTGAACATCCAAGTCTGACGTGCCCTTGAAGGTCTGCAGGCTGATAGATGGCTTCTGCAGATCCATGGCTGCCATTCGTGCAGTGAGTTCATCCATCCCGTGGTGTGCCTGTGTGTGGTCCGTGCTGCGGGCTGCTGCTGCCGTGCTGGTCGGCTGCTGGTCGTGCAGCTCTATCACGCTCTCTGTGTCAGTCTGCTGACGCTTTGCGTCATCCCTTTGTTCCTGGGGCTCGCCAGAACGGCGGATCTTTTGGTTGGCGTCTCTCTTTCCAGCCTTCCCCTTCCCTATGTCCTTTCTCACGGCCTTGTTGCCTTTCGTCTGGTGGTCGGCCCGTGCTTGTGCCTTCCTCTGTCGTCCACTCCTTGTCTCAACCATCGTGTCTGAGCAATCGAGCTTCCCGATGTCGGAACCAGGAATGTTGAGGGGGGGGGTTCACGCTATAGAGATAGCGCTTACTCGATGCTCGACTAAGGACACTTCTCGATGGGAGACACTCACGATTCAACGACAGGCACACGCACACGAATAAGGTCTCACGAGGTCACAAGTAGTCACACACGCACTGCACCACACCTGCTGATGACGGCAGGCTCTGACACGACTGACACACACACTCACTCACTCACGACAACTGCTGAGGCCAGCAACCTCGGCAACACAGTTCTCCGTCTGCTCGTGGCACGCCTTGACGCCTCGGGCTTGGTTGGTTCGACTTCCTTCTTCAACAATCAAGCGGGCAGCTTCACAGTCAGTAGGTAGGGGTCGCCGAAGGGATGGAGATGGCTGGAATCAGTGAAAAATCGACAAGTACCGCAAGGATCAACGAGTCGGCACTTCTGTCCTTCGGAATGACCGGAATATATCGTAATGGCCAATCGGCTCGCCCTTGGGCCTTAGCTCTCGCCCTTTGGGCCGTTCGCCTCTCGCCCTTGGGCGGCAGGCCTCTCGCCCCGACGCTGTTTTACGATACTCTAACTCCGATTCTCAACGTCATTTCCTATTGTTCCGTGCTATTGCGCCGCTGCGACGCTGGAGGGCCTTCCCTCCCTTTTCTAGCGAAGCGTTATCCATCATCATCCATCATCATTGACAGGGAGATTCGAGTGAGTCCATGCACTGAAGTGAGTCACCCTGCAACAGTACATACATGTACGCCCCAATGTCGGTTCGACAGGCTGTCGGGCCGACATTGGGGCGGGCCACCCATACGCATTGCCTCGCTCGGATGTCGGCTGGACGGACCATACATAGGTGCAATGACCTACGACCCACCCTCATCTCGTGGCCAGCCTGGCCAGGATCACGGCCGTCTCTCGCGGGAAGCAACAGAGCAGGGTTGTCTGTAGTGATGCAGCGATTCACTGAATGAATGAATGAATGAATTGAATCAATTCATTGATTGACTGACAAGCAAGCACACACTTATGTGACTCGACTGACGCCCTGTCATTGCATTGCGAAGTGTTTTCTGCTCGCGTCATGGCTCGCGTCGTTTGTGAGTTTCGCACAAGCACTTCACTGTAAATGCGTCGCATTCGGATCATTCGGGCCGGTAAGGGCTCAAGACTTGCCTGACGCTGGGAATAAGTCTGTTTCATCATGAGACAAAGTCCGTTTCTAATGAGAAGAACGGGGCTGTCGCCCAGCAAGAGCCATGGAGCGCCCTCTGAGCCACCAAAGCAACAATCAGCCAATCACATGAATACATCACCATATACACAAGGGACCCATAGGGAAGGAAGACAGGAAGACAGCAGAGGGAGTGTGCGTTGATCGCATACACCAGACCGACAAGAAAGAGAGCCGTTGACGATTTTTGCACTATTTCAACCCGTTTTTTAACACAAAGTATGTAGCTCCCCTTCAGCATACTATAGCTAGTATAGTATAAGCCTAGCATGGTACAAGCAGCATTTAGTATGAGGTGTGTCGTGTCGCAACTCCTCTTCATCATATGTGTGTCCTCGGCCCAGGAGCCAGGTCAGTGAAGAAGGAGCAAAGGAAAATGGGCGTGCTCGAAAGCCTTGTTTCTTGTTCCTTCGCAGGATGCCTCCTCGAGGAGAACGTAGACTACACAGCGGGTGCAGATATCGAGGCGGCTAGTAGCGGATTCCGTTCTCATCTGCACTGTGCCGACTGGTGCGCAGTCACGGAACGCTGCGAATACTGGGTTCACTTGGGTACTGGAGACGATGGTTCGTGCTGGCTCAAGACAGCCAGGGACCCTGCTGTTCATCCTGCGCCGGATGAGGACGGCAGGAAGTTCACGGCTGGCAGCAAAGCATGCGGAGACCCGGAAAATATGCTGAAAATAAATGGTCAAGGTATGCCTAACAGGTCAGAGAAAGCGCGTGATTGGTATGTCTTAATCGCTGCAGATGATAGCTCCGAATCGGATGAAAGTGCTGGGTGTTTCTCTTTGAACACAGCATCCAATGCGCCAGTGGTTTACCATCGGCAGTGGGTGATAGGCAACCAAAAAAAAAGGCGTAAATCTGTCTTGGGACTTCGTTTTTGTTTTTAGTTGTGACGCGGTTCAAAAGGGATATCAAAGTGCAAATTGGTGCCAGGTCCAGTGTATGGGCAATCCCGACTGCAACGCTTTTGTCTACCAGCTAAAGAAGGGGCACTACAAACATACCGGTAGGTTCACGCCGCATACGGGACAGCCACTTGAAGGCGTACCTCGTCTCCTGTGCAGACCCTAACAGCGTGAACCAGGTCGACTGTTTCCTTCTTGCCGACAAGGGCGACACATTCATTCCGGGAAAGAAGGAAAGGAACAAGGACCTGGAGTTCACATTCGGCCCCAAATACTGTCCGG